ATAATGTAACAGAGCAGCCCTTGACCAGTCCTTCTCTGCCCACCACTACCAATCTGCATTGGTCTTGGGCAAAGCAGCCACCCAGTGGACCACTGGGAAAGTGTCTTGTTCCTGCTTAGCTCACACCCGAATGAGATGGCGATGCCCCAGAGGACCACTAGGTGGTAGCAAACATCAAGACAGAAGCCAAGGGATCAGGATGGCGAAAGCTGGATAGGAATGGATTGCTTTGGGTGGAATTCCTCCTCTTATCATTAGTTGCTGACCTGAATTCCTGTAATCTTAGAAGAATTGGCTGGTATAGAATTGCAAATAGCAAAAGTTTTGAGAAAAACATGAAAATGTTTTGAACTTCCTTTTATTAAGGAATGAAAGCTAAGACATAAAACATCTGAATGAAATGATACTTATAATGAGGCTTTGAATAGCTCATACAGGCCCCTAGTTCCTACTGTCTTACAAACAGACTTTCTGATAATGCTTATCTTCATTTTGAATAGGCCTATTTATTTTGCATTTTATACTGCTTTTAGGTCCTGCAGCAATAGACTGGGATATAAGGAACTTGAAATTCCTCAGGTATGCTGATATTTCACAGCCCTGTGCCTTCCATCATTCACAGGGCTGTTTCTGCCTCGATTCTGTTTTATGTTGGGGCGTGTGTGTTTAAAACACTCCCTAGGTCTAATCATAGGAATATAGTGACCGCAGTCTCTAACACAAAGTGACTTCCCAGTGGTCGAAACAGACCAGGTCACTGCTGAGGGCAGTGCAGGCAGCACAGGAAGCAGGGCCATGGAAGAGGCCCCCAAGACCATGCAAGGACAGCCCAGCCAAGACTGCCATGAGGGGCGGGTGAGCAGGCAAGGGTGGGGAGAAGCCTTTGGAACATGGCACTGGAGACCTGATGTTCAGAATAGAAACAGCCAAATGCAAACTGATTGAAGGCTTTGGAGCACAGCATTTTCAGAAAAACTAGGGACACAACAGAAAAGAGCAGCCAGGAGTAGGTGAGCAACTGGGGAAGAGAGGTCAGAGAGGCAGCTTCTGCCAGGCTGAGGATCTGTTATTTCTGAGTCCTTTGTGCCACAGAAGGCTTTCGGGTGGGGGAATGGCATGATCAACTCTGCGTTTCAATAAATACTGACAAGGGTGTTGTAGTCAGTAGGATTGGTCAATGAAATACATTAAATACAGAACACATAATTTCTAAGATTATTTTATGATAATTACCCAAAGAGTCAAATGTGAAGCCTACAAGAGATATTAACCATACACTAGGGGCCAAAGAAATCCAGCTGAGGGCCTGGATCCTAGCAATTTTCCACACAAGTACAGTTAAAGGCTTAGAGTCCAAGGCAGTATCCATGAGTGCAGCCTGTGGCCTAGAGCCCATGGCGATGTCTGTCTTGTGCTTGTCCACATTGAGAATCTGTACCAGGAAGGTCCAAAGGCCAGTGGTGGAAGCCAGAAAACCTATTCCTGTGAGATGAAGGATTTGTGCCACCAAGCAGAGGGATCCACATTAGAGCCAGGAAGTGACTCTCACAGCGAAGATCAGAGCCCCCCTGATGAGAACAGCAGCCATTCCCAGAGACAGTGAGGCCCTGAGCTCCTCCTCCTAGAACAGCCTAGTTTGCACCAGGAAAACCATCTGCAACAAGCTTCTCCTAGAAAATCAGCAGGCAAAGATCTCCCCCCCAATTCCCTTTTTATGGTGATTGGTAATGATCCTCAGGTGGATCCTCTATGCCCAGACCACTCATTCAGTTCAGCTGGGCGTTACAAGTTGACCATTAGTGGATTGACTCCCACAACAAAGGGCCAGGAGACTGCAGCAGATGTGATCCGGGGTCCTGCACAGGAGCCAGGGCTCCAACCCAAGCTCCACACTGATCGTGTGTGAGACTGGGGTGACTGCTCCTGTTCTCTGAGTCTCTGTCCTCACATCCACATTGAGAATAACAAGAATTTCACATCACAAGAGTAGTCAGAGGAGTAAGTGAGGGAATGCCAGAATAGTACCGAGAGCAGAACCTGGCACCTATAAAATGTTAGCAACTTCGAAAGTACTTTTACTGTGAAGAACACATTTCACAATACAATTTAAAATGTGATCTTTTCACTTTTTTGAGTGTGCTGTTCAGTGGTGTTAAGTATTTCCACATTGTTGTGCAAAGGTTATCCATTCACTTCCAGCATGTTCTGATTCCTCAGCAGCTGCCATTTTATCCTGTCTGCAAATCTGGCTATGCCATGACCTCAACAAAGTACAGTCATAAAATAGCTATCCTTTTTGCCTGCCTTATTTTACTTGTATGATGTGAATAACGTCCACACGTTACTGAATGTGTCTAAATTTCATTTCTTTCATGGAATGAGTAATATTCCACTGGACACATATACCACATTGTGTTTATCCAGTCATTTGTTGATGGCCAGCCATTGATTGGCCTAGTTCCACTGGTGACTGTTTTTAATAACGCTGATTTCTATGAGCAAAGTGTACACATATCTGTTTGAGTTCCTCCTTTCACTTATGTTGGATATGTGTCCAGAGATGCAATTGTTAAGTGGTGTGGTAACTGTATGTTTAACATTTGAGGAAATACCATACTCCATTCTCCAGGTATTATACCATGTTATATTCTCACCTGCAATGCAAAATGCTTACAATTTCTTCACACCTTCACCAAAACAGAAAAAAAGAATGACATAAAATGACTTGGCTTTGTGAACTTGCCAGAGTATCTTCATTACCCCAGACGAGTACTGATCCTCATCTTGCAGGTGGGGTCCCTGCCCAGATCCTGATGTAAAACCATCCTGGTCAGGTTTTCGATTAATTTTTCAGGATCACATATACAGCAACACCAAAAAGGAATGGAGTTTCCCTCGTTCTGTCATAAAAATAGAGCATTGCTTGGTTGGGTAATTAAACTAAAGGAAATGCAGTCCAAATTCAAGGGGAGAAAATTGGCATTAGACCGAGTCCTATTTAGAGAACACTTGCCACTTACTCTGTTGCATCCATCTAAAGTGAGACGTAAAACCTGAAAGGTATATCAAAATAAGAATAGTCATTATACACCACCTCCTTCTCCAAATGTGTTCTCAGCACTTCCGATCACCTAGGAAGGAGAGGTGGAAGCAAGAAGTCATAGGAGTTTGAGTACCCTGGGCCAACTTTCCATTGAAATAATAAAACAAAATATTCCTAGAGTTTTAAGAGCCAGTAAGATAACAACGTTACTTTCACACTCTGGCAAATGGACTGATCATTGTGGTGTTGTTTAGATGTGGGTAAATCTCCATGTGATGCTGGCGAATCTGTACCCTCAGAATGACTGGTGTGGGCACAGGGCCTGAGATGTCCATCTCTGCTGACATCTGTGTGGCACACCATGGCCTGGCGCCTTCTTCCCAGGCACAAAGCCTGGATTGCTAGAACTTTATGGCTGTAAATACTCATCAGCTGTTTACTCAGGAAGGTAAGTTTGTTTCCCTATTTCTCATATTTGTGGAGGGATGTTTAAACAATGAAGATTTTATTTCTTGATGATTTTGACTTTGTTGAGAATGCTTCTCTTTTGTTTCTTGTGTAAATTGGATAAGTACAATTGAAATTAGTGAAAAGACATTACTACAGTGGCATAAAGGAAGTACATATATTCACTGAAGAACAAAGAGATACAATTTTCATACACAATTAAGGTACTGACACACTCAAGGTACTGACACTTCCGTTTAAGCTTTGGATGATCTGATATTTAATTGGGAGAAAAATAACCCTTATTTAAAATAATTTATAGGGAAAGAACTGCAACCATGAGTTATATAAGAATCTGTCTCTTCCCCTTTTGTTCTTAATATAGAATATAAAATGAAGACCTAAGGACCCAATAAGGCCTGTGGGAATCCACCATGTCACTAGAGCCAAGACAATGTGTACTTGAATCATTTGTCACAGCTGTGATCTTACCCTTCCCAAAGTGAAGCTACCTTGTCCAGACCTGCACCCTGCCAGGCCTCAGCCCCAACCTTCAGTGCTTCGTGTCCTCCTCAGGGAGACAGCTCCATAAGAGGTGAAGTTGGGTGACTACCAACAGCACCCCCATAGAAGCCAGCATTATATCCCAGATGACTTATGTGGTATCACTTCCTATTGGCCTAGGTGGCTATTGAGACTCCGCACATGTTGAATCTGTCCCAAACGTCTGAGGGAGACGAGGTCCATGACTTCACTTCACAGACATTGCTAAGTAATGGGGAAATACTCAGGGCAACAGTGTTGGGAAGGACAGGATGTAATTCACAGCCATTCAGCTCCCATTCACTGCCAGATAGTTTGTTAGTTGTTCTATGCATTCAGCATCTTGATAGATCATCACAAAAACCCTACACATGAACCTATGCACAGATAAAAATGAACCACTGCTTAGGGAGGGTCCATGACCTCTTCAAACAAGATTCATGACATTTCAATTGTACCCTTAGATCTCTTTGAATACCTTGACAGTTCATGAATCTAAAAGAATATTCTGTTTGCGCATATGTTATAATTAAACAATGAAGAATTAAACACTGCAAAATTTTTGCCAACTGATTTTGTTTTGTTGTGTTGCTGAAAAATAAATGTCAGTCTAAATACCTGAGTCTTAAGACAAGAACAAAACACAAAAAAGGCATAGGGACAGAATACAACAGAGTTGTTTTCTTTTCAAAGATTTCTACAACAGTATTTCTACAATACAAAATCACAGAGGAAATTAGTGAATGGGTAAGAAAGGAACCCCTGCCAACCTAGACAGAACCATAGACATTGCAAACCTCTCTCCAGAGAGCTAACCCACTTCTGGATCTCTCAGCTCCTGTGGGCAGGTAACCCCCGAACAGCTCCTCACTGCAGCAGATCATGAAGATCCCCAAGAAATCACCTGACCCTCCACTTCTTCATATGACCCAGGACAGCCCCGCCCTCCTGCCACCTGAGGCCTGTTAGCTCACAGGGTCCTCATTGTCTCACCAGCTCCCTGGGAAACCAGCCTGGCAGACAGAATGCTGCTCCTGAAAGCAGTCCTGCTCTCCTCCCTCTGGGCTTGTGAGTCATTTTCAATTATTTCCATCCACAAGAGAGAATAAAGCCATGCTTTTTTCCTCTCTTCTTCTCATATCAATTACTCAGGGAAATTTCTCTGCTTTGCTTGCAGTTGCACTGGGGCAACTGGAGCAACCTGAAATAGTCATTTCCAGAGCAACAGATAAGAGTGCCAGCATACCTTGTAAGGCGTCCACCAACAACTTTAGAAATGTAGATATACACTGGTACCGACAAAAACCAAAACAAGAGTTTGAGCATCTAATGTATGTCCGGACATCCTACAATCAACGTCCCTTAGGAGGAACAAACAAGAAACTCGAGGCAAGTAAAAATTTTGACACTTCCGCATCAACCTTAAAAATAAACGTCTTAAAGAAAGAAGATGAGGCCACATATTACTGCACCTACTGGGACTTGCACAGTGTTAAGGCTGTCAGAATGAGCTACACAAGAACACCTCCAGGTCTGTGCCCACCCACATGAAGGCAACCACACACTGCTCAGCTGGGCGCCAGCCTGGACTCCCTCCCCTGCATCCTTTCCACGGCTGCTGAGGGGCACTCAGATTCTGTGGCTACAGAGAGCCCCCTATAGGGTCAGGAGTTACAGTCCAAATCAAGGACTATTCAGCACGATTTCCCACTAAATTAGGCTAGGGGGGAACTCTGAAAATACCAGGTGGATGACGCATAGCACAATCTAGTTAATTAACAATGAACTGTTTAGAGACTTTCAGAAACTAAGTGATTCAGAATGAAGGCAACAAAGGGGTGCAGAGATGTGACCCGTTCTTGTTATTTTTTCCGTTTCACTCAACAGTATTGGTGTTTTTCAAAGGCAGAATTATTTGTCAAACATAGAAATTGCATACCTTTCCTTACTATCTTGTGGCCATCCTGAAGAATTTAGCGACCATTCCATGTCTAAGCAAAGAGTCGTCTCTTTGGCATACATAGGAGATCAAAGTACAAATCCCAGGTTTGGAAACAGAATGCAGCTCAGTCCACATAAGCCTTGAAGATTTTGTCTTCAGAGTGCAGAAAAAAAAAAAAATCCTGAATATGAGGATCACAAAGTTAAAAGGAGAAATAATTCCTGTTCACTGCATCTATACAGAAAGCAAAGGTAATATCAGTTATAAATAAAAAATTGATAGTGCTTTTATGTGTATTCTATGATTAGTAGTTGGATAATTGAGCACGTTCAAGGAATAGTAGGACGAAATCTTTAAAAATTGAAAATAAAATTCCTCTTTCATGTCTATGGAGTCTACCTTCAAACAGGTGGAAATAAAGAAAGAAAAATCTGATATCAGAAATATATCTCATATGACCCTTTATCAGTAAGGACACAGGAGCACATAGCAACCACATGCACAATCTCCAGGCAGACGCTGAAGTCACTGGAGCACACACATGCTCCTTTTTTCCCCTCTAAGCCAGAGCTGTGCCATGAAGGGCAGAGAAGCTGTTAGAACCAGAGGAAGGAACACCAGGCAGTTTCCCTGGTCCTAAGAGGACCTTAGGTTGCCATTCTGTCCTTACTACTGCCCGATGCTGGTGGCCACAGTGGGGACAGAGCACCTGAATGCATCTGACCACACCTCATAGGTAACCCTTTCAGGGCCAAGGGCAGGGAGCTAGGAATAATCTCCTGAGATCGCTGGTACACCAAGGGCTCTGAAGATGAACATGTAAAATAGAAATTTCCCCCAGGAGAGACTTGGCATGATGGTTCATTGAGTAGCCACTGTGACCCTCTGTCTCTATCTTTAATTATAACCTGACATCACATAATTAGCTATAAATTCTTCCCTATTGTAGATAGAATGGAAATCTTGCCTTGCACTCACCTTTCACTATGAGTGACCTTGATAGGCAACTGCTTGGAGAGCACCAATAAAGTGGGCTGTGAATCTCAGGCAAAACAGGATATATAGTGATGGTCTCAGGGCATGGACAGTATTCTGGATTTGTTCTATTTGTAATAATGGAAAAAGAATATGAAACCCAACTTGTGTGGTGTTTTTATTAGGATCTAGTCAAAGATCAAAGGTGCTGCTCTAGGGGACAGAACATGGTATGTGTGTCTCTAGAGTTCCAAAGCAAATCTTCTACAATATGAAATCACAGAGGAAATCAATGAGTGGGTAAGAAAATCATCTCAGCCCAGTTCAAATAGGCCCATGCACACCAGGGATCTCTCTCCAGACAGCTGACCCTCTTCTGGATCTGCCTGCTCCTGTGGGCGAGGAAACCCCAGACCTGCTCATTACTGCAGCAGATCATGAAGAACCCCAGGAAATCACCTGACCCTCCACTTCTTCATATGACCCAGGACAGACCCGCCCTCCTGCCACTCACTTGAGGCCTCCAGGAAGCCAGCCTGGCAGATGGGTTTGCTGCTCCTGAAAGTAGTCCTGCTCTCCTCCCTCTGGACTTGTGAATTGTCCCCAATCCTTTCCATCTACAGGAGAGAATTAAGCCATACTTATCGTTACTTCTTCATATATAATTTGTTTTTTGGGATTTCTCTTCTCTGCTTGCAGTTGGACTGGGGCAAGTTAGAGCAACCTGAAATAATTTCCAGAGGCAACATCTGGGAGTACCCACATACCTTGTAATACGTCCACCCACAACTTTAAACACATAGATATATACTGGTGCTGACAAAAACTAAAAGAAGAGTTTGAGCATCTAATATCTGGATAGCCTACAATCGACATCCCTCAGGAAAAATAAGCAAGAAACTTGAGGCAAGTAAAAATTTTGACATTTTCACACCAACTTTAAAAAATTGTCATGGAGAAAGAAGATGAGGCCGCCACGTATTACTGGGTCCACTGGGAAAAACACAGTGTGAGGGTTACCAAGAGAACCTACACAAGGATGCCTCCAAGCCTGTGCCCAGCCACATCCTTCCATATGGTCACCACATCAATGCTCGGTGGGGCGCCTGCCTGGCCTCCCTCCCTGAGGCCTCCTGCAGGGGATCCCTGAGATTCTGGTCTTCCAGGAAGAGGAACAGTGGGTCAGGAATCATGATTCAAATCATGGATCAGCACTATTTCCTACTAAATTAGGCTATGAGAACCTTAGAAAATAAAAGGAAGATGACTCGCAGCACAATCCAGTTATTTGTTAACTCACTGTATGAAGATTTCTGTTAACTGAATAGTTCAGAATGAAGATGGAGGGTTACATGCTAGGACAGAGGGGTACATAGTGCAGAGATGCGGCCTGCAATTATATTTCCATTTCGTTCATGAGCATTGGAAGTTTGCAGGGGTGGAATGATGTTTCATAGTAACTGCGCAACTTTCAATAGTATCCTGAGCCATCCTGACGACACCTTGTGAGCATTACATCTATAAGTAAACTTGGGTACACGAGAGACCAAAGTAGAAATCTTGTGCCTGCTGAGCAGGATGCAGCTCAGACCACAGGGCTCATGGCTGGGACAGAACAAACCCTGCTCCAGTGACTGGCCTTCAAGACCTTGTGCTTCAGAGTTCTGTCAAAAACTCCCAATAATCCTGAATATGAGGATCAGGCAATTAAAAGAGAGTTAATGTCTACTTACTGCTTCTATGGAGAAAGCAAAAGTAACGTCACTCATAGATTGGCAACATAAATATAAATATAATTACAGAGAGTGATTTTATGTTTATTCTGCGAGTAATAGTTGGATGGTCGAACACTTCTAACTCAAGATGTTACAAATATAAACATTCCTTTTCTACATACATACTTCAAACAAGGTGGAAATTTATAAGGAAAAAATTCCGACTTTAGTAATTTTTCTTATATTGACCCCTTATTAATATGGACACCACAGCATATAGCAACCACGTGCACATCTTCCCTTGCAGACCCTGAGGCCACTGGAGAACAGGTACACTGTTTCTCCCCTCTGACGGCCAGGCTGCGTCACGCAGTGCAGAGATACTATTGGAGCCAGACCAGAGAGCATTAGGGAACTTATGGGCACCTTTTCAGAGGCAGAAGAGGATGTTGGGTTGTACACCCTGTTCGAGGTGACTCCTGATCCTGCACAGTGGGAATGACCAGAGCACCTCACCGAGTCTCAAGAGAAGACATGGAGAGTGAAAAACTCACAAGAGAATACAGTACCGGTCCTTTCCAGGAAGCAGGGAATGAAAAGAGGGGACTCAGCTTCTCACTGTGTCTGTGCCACATCCTTTACCAGATTCCCTCACTGAATCCTCAAAACAGCAGTGCAGAGCTCCACTGCGGTGGCCACACAGGGTCACATGTCAGCAGGTGAAGGCACCTAGGTTGCTCCATAGAGCCCTGAGGTGGGAATCTGGTGGCACATTAAAGTGAGAGACAGGAGGGAAAGGGACACTTTATCTATGTGACTTTAACATGACAAAATAATATGTGGTCATTAAACATATGGTTAAGAAGTGTAAGTAAGACTGAAAATTTCCACCACTATTAAGTTGGTCAGAACTGGTTTATGTAATAAGTATAGGTATATATAGTAAGTATATGTATCTTGGCAAAAAAAGAAGTCAAACAACAAATAGAAAGAAATCATGTGACGTTTAAAGAGTGGGTGTCTGTGAAGAAACAGGTAATTTTAACTTATTCTTGGTATTTCAGCAGATTTCTTATATTTTAATGAAAAACTTTCACTACATATAATATGATATATGCCTGATAAACTGGATGTTACTGTTTTATGCATTTAACAAATTATTTATAGGCAAACATCTTTATATAGGGCCACTTAAAATTGTTGCAAATTTATATTTTCCCCCCTAATTGTGTTACTGCTTTATACCTCTCAGAAAAAAAAAAAAAAAACTACATTAACCTTAATTGAGAGTTGTCCAATTATTTTCCTGGCCTAAAGTCCCATTTTTATAAATAAAGATTTATTAAAATACAATCTTGTTACTTTGCTTCCATATTGCCTATAGCTGTTTTTGAATAATGGACTTATTGATAGCTGAAATAAGATACCCACATAGCCTAAGATATTTTCTATCTGGCTTTTTACAAAATAGTTTTAATTACAGAGTGAAACACTGATGAGTGACTATTTTTCTTTTATGTTCCTTTTTTTCTCAATTTGTCCTCAATGACTCTCTTGTGCATCCACACATCCCTATATTCACTCTATGACCGCAGAAACATTAGTTCACATATCTTTCATTCATTTTCCTCACTTAAAATGGGGAATATACTAATTTGAACATGAATGAAATATTGAAATGAGTAACTTGATACAAGAAATACAAATAAAATTCTTACCTGTGCTTGGACTGTGCCTAATGTTTCGATAATTGAATCATTACACTGATTCTGTAAGATGTTATTGCATATGAGAAAGTGAAATTATTGAGGAAATTGCTATAAATCCTTGAAGTTTAAAGTTTGGGCTGTGAACCAGACATTTCTAGTTCACATGAAGTTGTTAAATATGCAGAAAATTACATCTCAGCCCAGAGGTGTCCACAGAGGTTGATTCTG